TATTTTTACGTTTGAACCACATTTTTGTTGATTTAGAGGTATGCACAGGGGCATTGTCTTGTTGAAAGATCCAATTTGGTCCAGGCTTCCAATAAATGATCTTCAAGCATGCCTTGATACTTCTCTGAATTCATTCTTTGAGTTATAAATGCTAAATCTGTAGTTCCATTGAATCCAAACACACCCACACCATTATTGATCCCCCACCCATTTGGCATTTTGAAAATATTTATTTTTTGGTTCTTAATCATGCCAATAATACTTCCAACCGTCTGGACCATCTAAGTTGAATTTTTTCCATCACTGAACAAAACTTCAATCCATTCTTTGGACCATGTCATGTGTTTTTGTGCCCAATCAAGTCTGTCACTTTTGTGCTTTTCTCTGCTTCAATTTCTCTTATTGACTTGCCTTGTGATTTATAGGTATCAATCTGCCCTTTTTCATAATCAGATAAATTCTCTGTTCTACTGATTTTAGAACTTTGAACAACAAAGAATTCGTATTACAATTAGATATGTAAGCTAATTTGCATATTTCAATGCTTAAAACTAAACAATATTCTATTTAAGTCATAAAATGAGTGCCTGTCCAGATGAATATGTAAATTTTGTACAAAATTTTCAAAAATATTATTTTCAGTGACGAAATGTTAATGTTTGATTAAAATTCTTATTTTGCAGTGTGGAAACATAGAAATCCATGTTATTTTTAATAAAACGTTTGTCACTTAATGCAATAAATTTGGGTTTCACTTTAATTTTTTTGTCTGTATAAATTTGAAACACACCTTATTTAGACAATGTGCATACACACTTATTTATGTTGTCTAAAATAGCAAGATGTGGAGCTTCTGCTATGTTTGGCATTTGGAGAATTCCTCTTGAGTGTCCAACAGTAATCAGCAAGCATTCTTGAATTCTACTGACCCTGATACCTCTTTTCCATGATAGAGATGACTTGATGGAAATGCTCCCCATGTTCATCACTGACAGCACCAAGATTGTAGGGGTGGGAATCCAAGAAATGCATTCTGAGGAACATATTACAACCCCTATCTTTGTAAGATTGTAAGAGCACATTCACAATTTCACAGTAATTTGGAACTTTGTGATTAGCCAAGAAATTTTGTGCAACACCTTTGAATGATTTCCATGCTGACTTTTCAACTGCACTTAACAAGCTATCAAATTTATCATCTTTAAATTAAAGTTCTTATTTGTAGGCCCATGAAAACTACAGCTTTGATTTAGCATCACTTAGATGAAGAACTTTTTCTTCAAATAATGAAATCCAGTATTGTTTATATTTATTGCTTTGACAAAGTTTTTGAAAAGTCCTAACATCATATGAATTGGAGGTAGAAGAACCGTGTCAGCAATGACTAATTGTCATGAATGATATTTTTCTGGCCAGGAATAAACATTTCACACTTTGGCCATTCCTTCTTGACATAATGATTTTTCTTGTCTGCTGTTCCACTCACACAACAAAATTTAGTATAGATGAGCTGCAAACCCATTAATAATGCTATGAGTTTTAAATCACAACATATGATCCAATTGTACTTGTGATAATGAATTTTTTCAAGTAAGAGTTTCATATTTTCATAGATTTCTTTCATTTTAATTGAATAAGCTAATGGCACAGAAAGAAATTTGTTTCCATTGTGTAAAAGCACACCCTTAAGACTAATCTTAGACGAATCAATGAAAAGTCTCCATTCCATGGAATTACGTTTATGATCAAGTGCATCCATCACAGCACTAACATTATTGCAATAAATTAAATCACTTTCATCAGAATAGAAGTCTTGAAAATCTTCTTGACTACTACAAAAGAAACACACCTTAGTTGTCTGATGAAGTAAATTCCAACATTTCAGTAGAGAAGGTAATAGTTCAGCCTGTTATTTGAGACATGTTCAGACCCCTAACAAGATCATTTAGCTCACCTTGAGTTAATAAATAAGGTTCACAAGTAGAGGTGCTAGCTACAGTCGCTAAAGGGTTTATTAAGTCTATGATTACAGAAAATCAGAGGGTGATAGAAAAATTTCAATCCCATATTTGAAATCAGTACAAAAAGTTCTATTAAACACAAATTCTCTCTTCTGTGTGCCAAAAATCATATTGACCAGTGTAATTTACTTAAATGGCCAACCATTAATATTGGTAAATGAAATAAATTATTTGGGTGTAATATTTAATAGGAAAAGTAATTTTCAACAGCATGTGAAAAAATTAAGTACTAAAATATGTTAATAGATAATGTTATATATTTACATTCATCGCTAAAGATTGCTAACCTGAAACTACATATGAAATCATATAATACATTAATAGTTCCAGCATTATATTATGCTAGCCCAATATGGGGTATGGATTTTTTTATATGATTTAGAATAATTTCATATAATTTTCTTAAGTAGATTGTTTAGAGTTGAAAGAACAGTACTTGGATATGCTCTCCGAAGTGAAACAAAGATATCAGATATTTCCATTTTATTTAAAAAGATTAAGTTTTACTAATAGACTGAAACATACTAGTGATGAAAATACAGTAGAGCCTCAAAAACTCGGCACTCGATAACCCGGCATTCCGGATAACTCGGCCACACCCTGGCAGGGCAAAAAAAAATCCTTAGTTAATTAATTTTCATGATAAAGACAGCTTTATGCCTCATGAAGTATTTTTCTGAGGTCTGTCTTATCAGGTAAATTACTGTACAGTGTATTCATTAATTTTCATTTTTATGTAGTAAAGGCTCTATGCCTTCATAAAAGAAGTACTTTTCCTTTGTTTAAGGGTATTTGGGCAGTTTATTCTCTGTTGTATTCTCAAGTAAACAATACATATACAGTACAGTATTTTCTGAGGAAACACTCATACTTATTTTTTTTAACCCCATTCCCGATAACCTGGCATTTTCACAAACTCGCCCACCCTTCAGTCCACATTAGGCCGAGTTTTCGAGGCTCTACTGTATA